TATAATATTTGAAAATAAGTCTCTAGCTAATACATGCCATAGGAGATCAGAGATGGATGATTACTAAAGTAGAGCTGAGTTCAGTTCTCCTGGGTAACTCATACACAGTGCTCTGAATCTAAAGATAAACTGCAAATGGTAAAAAGACAGTTTGTGTGTGCACCGTTTTATTTATTTTTAAGTCTTTAATTTTGTACACATTATCAGGATGATTATGTGTAGTGTTCTGTTTGGAAAAATTTGTCTCTGCATAGTGGAATAAAGAAAATTACTCTGGGACAGTTTAAAATGAAGTTAATTACATTTCAAGACGTGTATGTCCATCTATTAAAAAATCCCCCACATTTACTTTTTTGGCCAACCCAACAGATGCCCTTGCAAATGCAAACTCTAATATCAGTGAGAGTGGTAGGAGAAATAAGACTGATTAGATTAATTTTTGTTTAATTAAGAAAGTAAGGGCCTAATAAGATGTTAGTTGCAGAAGGCAAAATATATAGAATGGGAAGAAGAACAGAGTGAGTACATGAGCAGAGTGACTGGAATGAAAAGGGATATGATTACAATGCTCAGCGATGAAAACATGCAGTTTTGAATGTGAGAATAACTGCCTCTTTAGAAGACAACTGTGGCCCTGTTAGAAATGCATGTGCTCTTCTGCCTCACATCCAGTAGGTTCACAGTGGTCACTGAGAATCTAGCAGCTCTTTTCAAACTTTGTATGATTCCAGTTTTCCATATGACAGAACCTCTTTCACAATGTTATTTTCATACTCCAGATATAAAAATGTTAAACTTTGAACAGTAACCGCTCATCAGAGATGTGATAAAATCAGACCTCAGGATTAAATTGGCATGCAAGGAGAGAGAGATGGCTGTTGAGAAGCCTAGATGATACAGAAGGTTTATCAGTTTGAACTAATTTAGAATTTCTGAACATTGCAAGACTGCTAAACAAAATAAACCATTTTTTCTTTTTCCTTACTTTTGTTCCTGGACTGATTCACCAAGTCAAACAGATTTTGTAATCAATATGTGAGTCTTCTGTCATATGAGAATTTCCATGAGGAATGTAAAATTATCTTCTAACTAAAAAAACCTCAAAAATCTGTAGCTTTTGAGTTTTTATACTGAAAGTAAGAAACCTCAGCAGTCTAGCACTTATGTACTTTCAAGCTGATGAAAATTGCTCCAGAGTAGTTTGTTCTTATACTGCACTGTATTTTTTTCCAATTACAATAATTAACAGAATTCCTATTTGTTTCATAAACATTATATATGGCATTACTTTCTATATAGTATGCTCTGTTTCATCAGTGATAGGTAAATGATAAAATGGAAATAGAATTCAAGAATGAAAGCCAGTCTTCTTTTACCATTCAGATATATGTGAAAATTAACAAACTAATTTTAAATATTCCTCTAAAATAGTTTCTGTTTTATATGAGATAAACAAAGATACATTAGTTATTACTTGGAGTATTGGTAACTTTTAAAAAAATTAATTGCACAATAGAAATAGCATCTCAAATAACGGTTTCCTTAAAAAGACTTAAAAATTAATAAATAAATAGTATACTTTAGCTAAGGTAGTTAAATAGCAAATCGGCTTAATTGGATCCTGTTATCATATAGTTTAATAACATCATAAGTGTAGCCTTTGCATGCCATTAAATTGGAGTTACATTCTATAAACACTGTACAGTCACAGAAAGTTCACAAACCAAGGCTAGGTTTTCGAAAGTAATTTGATACCAGGAATGTGGAGTAAAACTAGTGATAAACATAATTTAAACAAAAAATATTATCATAGAATCATAGAATGTGTTGGGTTGGAAGGGACCTTTAAAGGTCATCTAGTCCAACCCTCTGATGCTTAATTTGACAGTGGCTTTGGTGTAGTCAAGTGAAGGAGTTGAAAAAACAGACTGAGACAGTTAGTGCACTGGGCCTGAAAGTTTTATTTCAAAAGCTTTTGCATAAATCTGAGGTAGAAATACATTGAAGAAACCAGAGATACAGGTTGGAGTAGTCAAGATTATGATGGTAACCTTGTAATAGGGTGTTGGCTGGCTGCATATAGAGAAAGGTTGTAGCTGTGCCTGAAGATAAGTACATAGCTAGGTGTTCAGAAGGAGAAAGGGAGATTATGAAACCTCTGAGTTATGGCCCTTGGTGGCTATTACAAGATGTTATTATTCCTAGGCTAATAGGAAATTTCCTCCAACTGTTTTATGGTAATGTTTTTATTTAAAATATGATTATTAAATGTGGAAAAGCCTATTTAGAAATAGTCATTCTTTTTACTTTTTTTAAAAAATGCTTAATCTAGAAAACATTCCCCCAGTGTTGTGTACCATGAAATTTGTTCTAGTTCTTCACTGCTCTCATCTGTTTAGTGGTAATAAAAAGATACTGACTTCTGCATCAGTCAGGAATTGCAAAATACGATGTTTTCAACACCTGCTACTACCAGCAGAAATTCCTACCACCTCAGAAGGTCATGTCTGCCATGTCCTTTTATGTAATCATTCTCTTAGAGAAAAGGGTGCACAATTTCCTTAATATTAAAAAAAATGTGAAAGCTTTTAATAATACGTGTTGGTACATTTTCATCTCTCTCTGTCTTTAAAATGGAGTTACAACACTTCAAAAGCTACTTTATTGATTGAAGATTCTTGTCATCATGATTTCAGTTAGATGGGCAATAAAGGAAGGATGTTAACAGCCATGAAAATGTACAGCTATAAAATTACCTCATGTGGGTTTTAAGTTCATAGTTCTCTGTTAAAAGTAATACTGCTTATTAAGTTTCTGTTGCAGTGATCTGTTGAGAAGAGAGATGTTAGTGAAAATAGGAAGTTCAGCATTGATTTTTAGCTATAAAGAGTAATGCTGGAGTATAAAAAGTCTCTTAAAATAATATATTGAGCTATTTTTGCCAAGTCTTACTATTCCATCCTTCCTTATTTCACTTTTTTCTTTCAGTTAGTTTCCTTCCTTCCTCGTTTCTTTAAGTTGTTTGCTCCTTTGTCTTACTGTTGAAGACTGAAGTGTGGGACCATGCAATGCTTCTTCACCAGAAGGCTTTCCTTTTCTAGCCAGGATCCATTAGACTCTTCAGTATAGTTTGTAGAATCACAAAAATATAATTTGAACACATGCCTTCCTCACAAGATGCATTTACAGTCTACAGTCTTCACAGTAAGGGAGTTTATGCCTCAAGGTGACACACATTATTGGGAAGTGTTGTCTTTGAGCATCTGTTATGCCTATAGTACACCAAGACAGAAAACACAGAATCCAAGTACTGCTAATTGAGTGTGTCTTAGGTCAGCTGCACTGATGGCAACTTTGTCATTTTGCTGATTTGTCAGCACTTGGACCCTAACACTTGCATCCATTTTCCTTGTCCACAAGTCCTTTCAGCTCCAAAAGGTCACTGGTATGCAACAAAGACTGATTTATTGATTCCAAGGCCCCACTTGGAGCACAGCCGCTCTGTGCTCCAACTATCCTTCAAACCTTCACTTTGGCACCTCACCAAGCAGAAGTGAGTCTGAATGAAAAACAAAATAAAATGGAAGGAGTGCTTTAAGGTACAAGGGTCAGTGCCACAGAGATGTCTTAAGCTTAGCCCTGTTAGCACTGCCACTTCCTGTTCCTTCTGTTTTGCCAAAGTTAGTGCAAAGCATTGAGTAAGTATCAGTAGCCTTGTTCATCTTCTAAGCTGTTTTGCAACCTCTGTTCTTCAGAGCCACACACCCATTGGATAAGATATTTTGTAGCCTTTTCCCAGTCCTGAAGATGAGAGTTTCTCAGTCCAGAGCTAGTCTGAGTAGGAGAGTGATACATCTCTCAAAAACTAAGGCTGCTCAGTCATCTCTATTGGTTCATCAGTGCATTGAAGGGAATCAAATTCTAGCTAATCTGTGTGTGTCATCAGGATTACTTGTTTACATTTAACCATTATATTATGACTGCTGTTCTAGGAATATTGATAGCTGTTGTTATGCAACACCAAGGATTGTGTTAGAATGGCCATGGCAAAAAAGCATACTGTAGCCTTTCTTTGTATATTTCTTGAGATGTGCCTGAATGGATGTTAGATTGGTGTTTTTAGTTGTGCTTAGGGAACCAAGTGTTCGTGCTGACCAGTAAGGCAAACTAACAACATTTTAGACATGCAGCCATGGTTCCACAGCTGTACTAGAGGGATCCAAATGAACTTGTAGGGAAGTTGGAGGTACTATGCTTTTTGCCCTGAAGCTTACAAATTCCAAAATTCTTTTATGAAGGTTCTTTTCTGAAGATGCTTGAAAACACAAAGCTGTGTTCAGGATAAGAGGGAAAGTCCTCTCATCTGTTAATAGCTTGTTAAAAGATACCAAACAAAGGTTGGAAATAAGTTATTAATTTTTCTCACCAGAGGGACATTAGCAGTCTTGTCCTAGATGGTGCATGGTACGATTTGTACTATCCAGCATAATTGCTACTAGACATGGAGGAGATAATGCTTGCCTACAGTACTGAAATATTCAGGATATTAAAAATGAAGGCCGAGTGCAAGAAGTGGCAGAAGATTGTCATGATACTAAATGATCTTCAGCAACATTTACATTGTTTCCCTTTCATTGCAAAAGACAGTAGTAAACTGGAAGTGTACAGAGACGATAAATAAGAATGTCAGTCTTAAATTACTTCCTGATGAGAAATATGTAAATAAACTAGAATGCTTCAGCCAAAAAAAGAGATGACTAAAGAGGGATGATGATAGAGGTAATTAAAATCATGAGAGGCATGGCAGAAGTCAATGGGCTGCTGTTATTCACTGCCTCATAACGGAAGAACTAGGGAACAGTAAATAAAATTGACATTGCCCCAAAGTATGGGTTCAAATAATGGCAGATTATTGGGGAAAAAATGGAGTAAAGTGTAATAAATTCAAAGATACCATATTTC